AGCAGCTCTCCCTCTGGGGCCTTGCCAGCTCGGAAAGGGCAGCCCGAGCTATTCTTTTCAAGACCCCACCATGGCGTGGACCGCACCACAAGCACATGGAAAGCAGGGTCCAGAGTAAGGGGCCAAGCTGAGCTGAGGATTCTGAACTTTATCTAAAGATCAGTGGGAAGTCACTGAAGCAACTCAGACAAAAGGGATTCACTGTAGAAAACTCCTTCTCTTTCCTGACACCCCTGTTTCGTGCAGCCTTCAAGGGAGAGACAAAATGTCATAAAGGAGGGAGAGTTCAAGCCTGGGAGATAAGTGGTCAAGTTCTCTTGAGCCTCAGTTTCCTCATCTGTAGGACATCTAGACATACAGTTGTGAAGACAATCAGTTCATATATGTGTCTGGAATTCAGTAGGCACTCAGCAAGTGTGGATTTCCCTCTTAGCTCCATCCTCTTTGGGCTTAGTACTCATCACCTCTAAGAAGCCTCTCTCCGACCACAACTCCCTGGGCTCCCCTTGGGCTTGCTTTACGTTCTCTGGCACTTACGCCTGCAGGATCCTCTGTGCCGACATTCGCCCACACGGAGCCAGTAAGTGCTTTATTTCTTATGCATAAGTCACTCCAATTGCCATGCCAGCCCCTCTAAGGCAAAAGCCTGCATTTAGTATCTTTCTTAGTTACAAACATAGTTTCCTGTCACCTTAAAAAATTAAAGAAAATATCACCTTGGCTGTTGTGTGTGAAATGGATTAGTCCCAGGAATGAATGAGCAGAAAATCATTAGGTTAAAATAGCACAGGCAAGAAAAGTTACTGGCTTGGACTAGATGGGGGGAGTTGGGAAAAGAAAAGTAGGTGGATCCCAGGTACACTGATCACACAAGCCTGAGCGGTTTCTTGGTTATCGTATGCAAGCTAGCATTGCTATCAAAGCCAACATCTGGGCTCAGGTCTGAAGAATACAGTGAGCAGCACAATCATTCACTGAGTTGGGAGGGAAAAGTCTTAAAGATTTAAGAGAGAAGATCAAAAGTTTGGACATGTTAAGTGTAAGAGCCAAGTGGAGCTGCCAAGTAGCAGTTGGGTAAAGAAGTCACAGCTCAGAGGACAGACATGGACTGGAGCTACCAATCTGGAAACTGTTAGCAATAGACGGAGCTCAAAGCCCTAAAAATGTGGGATCACGGGCCAGCTCGGTGGCGCACTGCTACAGTGCGCCGCTTGGGAGCGCGGCTGCGCTCCCGCCGAGGGTTCGGATCCCACATACAGACCGGCCGCTCACTGGCTGAGCGAGGTGCGGGCGCAACACCGAGGGTTGTGATCCCGTTGCCGGTCCCGGTCCGGTACGGACATGACACTGAGGGTTGCGATCCGTTGCTGGTCACGAAAAAAGACAAAAAGGAAAAAAAAAATGTGGGATCACCTGAGGAGAGAGCACAAAGAACTGAAAAGGGTCAGAATCAAGCCTGAGGATGCCGACTTTTGAAGGTGAGAGTTAAGAGGAGGTCTCAATCTCTGGGGTAGCTGGAAAGAGTGGAGGAACAGAACAAGAGGGTAGTTTTATTGCAGCCAGGGGAAGAGAGTCTAGCAAGTCATCGGTATGTCCAATAACATGAGGAGCCAAGTAAGAGAAGGGCTTAAATTTGTCTATTAATTTGCCTATAAAGCCCGAAGTCCTTAGGCTGTTACTTAAAGCAAACTAGAGCCTGATCACTCTTACTACTCCAGATCATGTATAAAGATCTCCTTGAGCAAAACCTTTATCCCATCCCACAGTGGAACATTCCATTTATTTGAACCCATCATCGTCCCACATAGAGGGATGAAGAGACCCTGGGGGACCCTCACAGGAACCTGCACCTGGCATCTGCCACCTGCGACATGGGGGCCCTGGGCCCACCCGGTTGTTGAGTGCGTAGCATCGGCCCCCGCAGTCATCCCCCAAATCATCATTCCCAGCGAAGACGACGATGACGTGTCTCATGGCCTCAGCCCCAAACACCTCCCGGATGCCCTTGACTGTCTCCTCATCCTCGCGCATGTAGAAGCCGATGGGGACCACCAGGAGCAGGACATGGAGGCCGGGGGCCACGAGCTCCAAGCAGTGCTGGATATTTCGCTGCTTGTCTTCAGCACGAGCTGCTGAGAAGAGGTAGGGGGTGTCAATGACCACGACCTCCCTCCCTTCCAGGGCCACACTCTCTCTCTCTGGCATGTGTTAGTCACCATCTGGTCACTGAACTTGGACACAAACACAGCTTTGCCCAAAACGGTGTTTCCTGTGGCACTTTTTCCTGAGTGACTTTTCCCCAGGAGGAGAAGCTGCAGGTTGGACATCTGGCAGCCCTGCTCCCACACGCCCTCCTGACACAGGCCCCCGCTGGTTCTGTTGGGACAAAAAGCGACACACCAGTGTTCAGCTCACACACAGAGTGGGTGGGGAACAGCAAGACAGCACCTTCTCTTTTCCACTCAAATTTTCCCCAAAGGATTTGGGCTACTGAAGTCCTAGACTCAGGCTAGATCAAAACAAGAAACCCGGTTTCCCAGGATCTTCCCGTGCTCTTGTCGCTGAAACAAACCCAGAGATTCCTTTGAGTTCTTCAAAGGTTTTTCATTATTAGGAACCACAAAGAGTCAAATACCTTAGAAACCACAGTGAACAGGCAGTTTTCAAAGCTGAAGGAAATCTCATAATTAGTGGTAAGGGTCAGATGTTAAAAACACAGATTTCCAGAACCCAACCTAGACCTACCAAATCAGAATCTGAAAAGAAGGAGCTTAGAGATCTGTATTGATCAAATGTCACAGTAATTCTAATGATTAGCCAAATTTAGGGAGCCCTGTCCTATAAAATACAATAAAGTAGTAACATCTAGAGCATATAAGCAAATACAATGTATGGAATACATGATGCTCTGAAAATAATATCACAGGAGACAAACCAGACAACATTCACGTACTGGACTCATGAGCGCCATGTGCCATGTGAAGTCACAGAGAAGTGGGGAGCACGGTAGGGGGGACCGCAGACTCGGAGTCTGACTTGGTTCACCTTCTGCTCCGCGACTCACTAGCTGCGATCTGGAAAGGTCACTTAACCATTCTGAGCCTGTCTCCTCATTCATAAGATGGAAGTGGCGTCACCTACTTTAAGGATATTTTTATAAGACTCAAATGAGATGACCTAGGAGAAAGTGCCTTGTGAGTTTGCACATCTTCCCTAAATGTGAGGTAGTACTGTATTGGTATATAAATAGTGCTGATTAGATTTCGTTTTCTCCCCACAGAGGCTTCCACCTAGCAGGCAAGTCAAGCAAGAAATCCTTAAGCTAACATTCCGAACTCTCTGCACTGTTCTTCTAGCCCACATGTTCAGCTCTACCTATAGCTAAACATACTGTATGCTCCAGCCAAGTGAAATATTCATCTCTATTTATTCATGTCCACCTTGTCTGAAATATGTTTTGAGCTGATTTGCTATAACTGTTCAACCCTCCTGCCTTGTGCATTTTTTCTGGATTGCCCAAGAATTCCTTAACCTGAACTCAAGAGAGCCTTGGGGAATTCCTGGCAAAGCCAAAGCTGCAAGGAAATGACTCCTTTCTACCATGATCACAGGTTTCCCCCTTGAGACACATCGGTCATTGGGCTGCTATTCCCAACACTGGGCTATACCTCGGATCCTGTGTTCCTCCCTTTAAAAACCTGGCATGTATTGCAAACTTGACCAGGACGCATTCATCTGTGAGGCTCTACCTGTGAAGACCTTCAGGAGAGCGGCTCTCTCTATGAAACCCTCAGCAGTGCCTTCTTGGATGACCAGCTCTCCAGGATCCATGGTAAGGTCAGAAAGTTCTCCACGCATCTTGCGCCATCTTCTCTCTCGCCCTGGGTGAGTTCCCTGTGTCCCTTTCATCACTTGTATTAAGAGGCTGAACAACAACAAATAAAGGGCAGAGATGGAGCAAACAGATAAGCAGGTGATGCAGATGAGGACGTGTCATGGGAGCCCAGGAAGGAGACAGTTTCTGGGGACACACTGGTGCCATTCCATGGACACTGCTCCAGCAAAGGCAACCAAAGACCCCTTAGCTCCCAATTCACAGTGCACTTACCCTGGTTATCTGATCACTCTGTGTCATGACCTCTTCATTCTTTATGTTTTTTTGATATAAAATTTGATGTCTATTCTAGAGAACTTGGCATATTCAGAAAATTTTAAAGAAGAAAATGAAATCCTCTATGACCCCATCATCCAGAAATAGCCATTGTTAAAATATGCATATACTTTATTCGTATATATATCCACATATGTCATTTGGCAATAACAGGTCTCATAGAGTATATTTTTCATTCAATAATAATAATATACTTCTTAAAAGTAATTTGGAAAGTATGGAAATGAATGAATAAAAGAGTGGTCCACCGTCCGCAAGGACACATCAGTTTGTAAGTTTTTATTACATATAAATGAGTATTTTAGGTTTGTTTGTTTTATCATACTTATATATATGGGTGGGCATCTGAGGTCACTGTAAGCTAATTAAAACTGTAAGTAATTTACGAATTACTCCCTAAATTAAAAAAAAAAACAAGGAGTAGTCAAATAATTTACTTTAAAATTTTATCTGTCATCAACACTTCTTTCCTCCTTTTTTCTTCTTAAAATGTAACGTACATATCTAATTTATTTTCTATGTTATCTCTCTCCAACCCCTGGAAGGTGAGCTCCATGTAAGCATGGATTTTTGTCTGTTTCATTAACTACTGTATCTCTGGCACTTAACATCCTGCCTGGCACATCATAGACGCTCAATAAATATATATTGAATGTATGAGTGAATGAGTGAGTTAGCTTACAATTGGGGGGCGGGGGGAGGATGCATCTATGTTTATAAATGAGATAAACTCATAATTTTCTTTTCTAGTCTTTGTCCCATTGGGTACCAGGATTAAGGTCCCCTTACAAGATGGGCTGGGAAATCTCCCGTCATCTGATCATCTGAATAATTTGTATAGGAAAGGAAGTACCTGTTCCTTGCATATCAAACAGCAATGGTGTCTTTTGAGGGTTGGTTTTCACTGTAGCATAGTGCTAAGGACAGACTGCTCTGCCATCACTCCTTGTCACTTACTATTTGAACGACCTTGGGAAGATAATTAACATTTAATTTTCTCATCCACAAAAATAGAGGAAATAATATACCTGTCCTCATGAGATTGCTGTGAGGACAATATGGTGCTCAGAACAGCACCAGGCACATACTAAGGGCTCGGTAAATTACTTAACGTTACATTAACATTATTCTACACTTTTTTTCAAGGTAATCTTTCTACTTCTCTTTGTCAATTTTGCTAATTTATATTTTTATATAAAAATTATTGACATCTAGGCCTGGTTTACAGATTTTCTGCAGGATATGCAGGCACCAGCCAAAAGTGGACAGCTGCCCCAATCTGGGACATCCCTGAAGGACAGTAGTAAAGGGAAATCCTCCCAATGGGCAGAACTTCTAGCAGTGCACCTGATTGTCATTTCATTTGGAAGGACAAATGGCCAGATATGTGATTATATAACAATTCATAGGCTTGACCAATGGTTTGACTGGATGGCCAGGGATTTGGAAGGAACATGATTGGGAAATTGGTAACAAAGAAGTCTGGAAGAGGTATGTGGACAGACCTCTCAGAATGAGTGAAAAATATGAAGATATTTATGTCTCGTGTGAATGCTCACCAAAGGGTAACCTCAGCAGAGGAGTGTTTTAATAACGAAATGGATAGGATGACCCATTCTATGGATACTAGCCAGCCTCTTTCCTAGCCATCTCTATTATCACCCAATGGGCTCATGCACAAAGTGGCCATGGTGGCAGGGATGGAGGTTATGCATTGGCCCAAAAACATGGTTTCCCACTCACTGAGGCAGACTGGCTATGGCCACTACTGAGTGCCCAATCTGCTGCAGCAAAGACCAACACTGAGTGCCTGATATAACACCATTCCCTGGGGTGATTTGGCAGCTAAATGATGGCAGGTTAATTACATTGGACCACTTCAGTCGTGGAAGAGGCAGTGTTTTATTCTTATTGACACTTACTCTAAATATGGATTTGCCTTCCCTGCACATACTGCTTCTGCCAAAACTACCTCCATGGACTCACAGAACGCTTTATTCATTGCCATGGTTATTCATGAAGTATTGTTTTGTTGATTCTACACATTTCATAGGTCTTCTCCCAATCTGTGGCTGACTTTTCAGGTCTCTTCATACTGTCTTTCGTCACACACAAAAATTAAATTTTAATCCACTCATTTATCAACCCTTTCCTTTATAACTTAAGTATTTTGAATATAAAAAAATCATATTTTCTTCTAAACATTTTTTATTTTTAACATTTAGATCTTCAATCTCTCTGGAATCTGATTTTGTATATAGTGTAAGGTAGGCAACTAATTTGATCATTTATTCTTATTGACAAAATGGCAAACATTGTTGATTGGCTAAACCAACTAACCCCTTTCTCTTTTACACATCACCCACTATGTATTCTGGGAGTGGGGGAGAGGAATGTAGACTCTCTGTGGTCCCCCAAGATCTCCATGTGCTAGTCCCCAGAACCTGTGGCTATGTTACCTAACATTGTAAAAGGACTTGGCCAATGTGATTAAGAATCTTGAGATGGAGAGATAATCTTGACCATCCAGATGGGCGCAATGGTCCTTATAAGGGTTTTAAAATAAAATGTGAAAACAGAAGCAGCTGTTAGAATGTGAGAGAGATTGGAAGATGCCACACTTTTGGCTTTGAAGGCAGAGAAAGGGGCCAGGACCAGGTGGAAAGCCGGCAGCTTCCAGAAGCTAGAAAAGGCAAGGAAATGAATTCTCCCATACAGCCTCCAGAAGGATCACATTCCTACCCCAAAACCTTGATTTTAGGGCTTCTGACCTGCAGAAGTATAAAATAATAAATTTGTGGGATTTTAGCCACTAAGTTTATAGAAATTTGTTACAGCAGCAATAGGAAACTAATACACTCTCTCTCCCAGCTTCCCTTCAATTAGGGGTATCCATGTGACCCAGACCTACTGGATGATAGTTAAGGGAAAATCTGCTTTTGGCTTCTGTGAATACTACTGTCATCTTGATGTTAGGGGCAGACTCATCCCTGCCATCCGTTGTCATCCCTGCCCTCTTCTTCTTGCATGGAATTTAAATGTGATATCTGGAATTGTGGCAGGTATTATGAAGCTATGAGGTAACAAATATGAAAACAAAACACCAACATAAACCAGCAAGCTAAAATGGGACAGAGCAGAAAAATAAAAGGCACCCGGATTCCTGATGACATCACTGAGCTGCCAGATCCTTGAAATCACCTCC